CTTCTGTCTAAAAGCAGATGAGATGGAGTGGTTTTGATTTTAGATACTTTTTTTAATACCAGGGATGTCTTTTTAGCAGATGGAATGGGTGTATTCAATGTGTAGGTGTCTAGGCACCTGTTACTGCTTAGGGGCATTAACTGTTGTACTTCATCAGTTTCCCAGTGGCTATGGGAGAGTAAATCCCCCAAAGTCTGACAGTAGGAGGCATACTAATATGTGAGTTTTATTGCTTACACCAACTTCCTTGATGGGCTTGTAACTTTTCCATGGATATTTTTACTGTAATTTTTTTTTCATAAAATAAAACAAAAACATTTCTTATCTAGATCCCAAACCAAAATGTACACAACATATTAGACATTCTCAATTAGATTCAAAGTGTTTCAGGTACTTATGGCTTGTCTGTGTAACATGCACTGTCTCAAATTGAACTGCCCTAAATTCACAATGCAATTCTTCTGAAGTAATTATTTTGGGAAATAGTATAATTGACAGTAATAGTGGATCTAAGTTCACTGGAGGATGATTCATGTACAAAGAGGTTCATGTGCTTAACTTCACAATTTACATAGTGTTAGGTACACCTGTAAATGTCAAGATCCATAGGAATGTCTCTTCAAACAAAAGCTTCTTGAATATGTTAAAAACTAGAATACAACACCCAATGACATATTGTCCTACAAAAAATATTTTTAGTAAAAGAATTAAATTAAGACGAAAGAATGGAAGTGTTTAAACCAGAGACTTTCATGATTTTTCTCTGTGCTATTACTTCTGTCTTCAGCACACTTGTAATTTCAAAATGGCCAGACTGTCGAGTTTTCTCCAGTGTTTTGTTTCCTGAACTGGGATGTGCCATGCCAAGTTTCAGTTTCAAGAGATTATTTTTCTCTTTCACCACTAACCAAGTTGTAAATTTCCCGGAAAGAAAAAGTTTATAATGGATATGTTGACACAACATTCAGAATAGTATTGCAAATGTGAGGCTCTGCTACAAATTGCGCTGTAATGATTTATACTGTTTCCAATACTTTAAAAACAATTTTGAATCACAGCCAAGTCCTGCAAAATATATGAACCTTGAAGGATTCTCCAACAAATATTAGGTCACTACACATTTCAATTTCCCGCACTATGTTTGAAAGGCTGCATCTGGCAGTTAAAACACTAAAACCTCAATCAACAGGTATGATGTCATAGATACATGCTGGAATATTATTTTCACCCAGTAGCTTTCTGTAAGTAGGTCATTCAATTCTACAGTGCTCTAAAACATCACCAAAGAGCTTCCTTATAAAGCATCTCCAGCAACTGACTCTGAATAAGTTGCACTAAACTTTAACGCTTAATATTTTATTATGAAAACTTTGTTTACTTGCTGGTCTACATGAAGTACAACATCTAGGAAAGGCCTTCTTAATTTATTGTAAAAGGTCATTTTCCACCCACTATAAAAGCATATTTTTAAAAAATGTTATCTTTATCTTTTCTTCTTCAGGACCAGATATTTTTAGAAAACTTTCCAGACAGGCATCTAACACAACACATCTCCCACAGGACATGGAAAAGAGGACATCTAGGAGACCTCAGAATGGGTCACATTTCAGGTTTGGGTAAATGGCCTTGTTGGACAGATTGTCTAGTTGGTGCTTGCTTGAGGAGATGCTCAGGCAGGTAGATTACCTTTTCCTTCCTTACATGATACTCTACGGTATATATCCTACGGTATTTTGTCACATCATACTTCTGCAGAAAGTGGTGTTTGCTCGCCATAGCTGAGAAAATCATCACGAGTAGTATTAAAACTTCATCATGGTGAGTGGCCTTTGGCAGCATGGTTCAAGACAGCACGGAGAAAACGTTTGCACAGGTTTTAAGCCCATATGTATTATCACCTTGTCCTTTAAAATACATTCCTCCTAACATCTTGTTACATTTATAACAAACTCAATGGGTGGAGAACATCTGTAATTTGTTTACCCTCCTTCCATCCCTCAGGCTAATTATGGTTGCCTCAAACACAGTCCTCTTCCTCCGGACCGAAGAACTCTTCAAACCCATTTGGAAGGATTTGCCAAAGCCTGCCTGTGGTGGTGCTTCCACCAAGACATTTTAAACCGCCCCATGCTGAGCGAAAAGCCTAACCCAAGCCCCCGGGGACGGCGCGAAGGCCCCCCAGGAGGCGGCGGTGGCCACTTCCCCTCAGGCC